CTTTCGTTCGTTCTCTAGGACGGCATGTGTTGCGCTGCGATAGGCAGTGGCAGTGGGCTCACTTTGAATGGTCCATTCGGCGGTTGGTCCGTAAGTTTCTTTGTCGGGGGAGAAGAATGAGTTGGGAAGTTTTGGGACATGTTCGCCTAAAAAGCTTGTCATAATGGTTTAGTCTTTCCTCAACAGTCCACTCTTTGTTTCGCTTAAGTGGAAGTCGGGCGCCAGTTCCTTCAGGCAGATGACATCTTCAGGACAATGGACTGCAAGTAGCGTGCTTGGATGGCAATGAAAGACATGGTGTTTACCTTCACCCAAACATGCGTCCAGTCTATTTCCGAGGGACGGTGGCCCGGTTCTACTTGGCGGACGCAGCCTTAGGTTATCCCTGCTCTGCGATTTCACGCTGGCAAGTGTCGATTTTTTCGGCTCCAAGAAGATTGCCCTGCAAATCCACCAGGAACGCTGCACTGCGAGTCATCAGGCCTATCGATTTTTTGGTAACGGTAGTGTGTAGGACCCCACATAACCGGAAACTCCCAAATGTACACTAAAATTCAATATGACTGTAAACATCACTCATTATTCACCGTTCCCACTGGTTGACATTTTCTTGTCTGCCTGACTAAATGTAAGCTTAGCAGCGGAGGTTTATTCAAAGTCCGTTATTTCTTGAAAGTTTCTTTCTGTTTATTTCTTAATTATCGCGCCCACCTTCTTCGCCAAGTGACATCGCACAGTAAGACTTTCGAAGGAAATTTATCTATTTTCTGTGATTTCTTGCTCTCCGTCCTGTGTGTTGCTTCACCCGTAAAGCCCTCTCTACCACCATTCAAAGTGTGACACGGTCCACAGGCTAGCCCAAGTTGGTTGGGTTCCTACACCCTGCCGTTGGCAAGATTGTAATTGAAGAAGCGATCAAACACGGAACGGTGTTAACTACCGTTTATTCACTTCCGTTGAAGCTAACTCTACTGGCAGCAAATACCGATTTCCGATGTTTGGGGGCATTTAGCACTCAGATTCGGTTGGTCTTTGTACTTTTCTGCATCGCGAGACCTGTCATAAAGTTTCAAGTGTCACTGCCTCGGTTGGCTCATCAATGAAAATTTCGATTTATTCTCGCAGTCGATGAGGGCCACGATAGTGGCTTAGGTAGCAGAACACCAAAACTCTGGGGTGGGGGGGGGGGACGGGGGCAGGTGGAGTTCAACACTAAAAATGGTGTCAGCACCCTTGCGTATTTCGCCTTTTTTGGCAGCCGGATAAGGCTAAAAATAGCTTTTTGTCTCCCAATTGATGCTTTTTATTCCACCCACCCACCCACGCATAGCAAAGCCGACGTTGAGCATCTACGCAGACAACACTAGCAGTCGGGTGGGACTTAATGAAACCCAACCGCGTCCTTAAATCCTGCCTCATTTCCGCTGTAAACCTCCTTAAATGTATTCTAGGAAAAAAGGTGTTTCAGATGAAATATCTTAGTATAGGGCAGTGACTAGTTGCTTGACCCAGGAGAGTCAAATTCAGATATCTGCAATGCCAAAATCCTGTTTGCATCCGACCACTAATTTTGCTTTTAACGCTGTTTATTTAGAGATTTCGACTGTGGGCGTATTAACATAACGTCCTTGAGAAATTCTCCAATATGCGTTAGCAAATACGAAGGTCGAAATATTAGTTTTAAGTATGGTTATTTTATGTCCGCCCGTATTTTTTACGAAAACCTGAATGGGTCAGTAAGGGCGCCTTTAACCCTTAGAAACGAAATTAAAATCCCACCCTGACTCTAGCCCCAACCCTGACCACAACACTAAGCCTAACTCTTAAGCCTATCCTTAATCCTAACCTCACCCTTAAGCCTAAACCTAACCTCAGCTGCAGCATGATACAGCTGCAAGGGGTCCGGCCCATCGGTAGGCCCCCCAGCGTACTCCATTTGTCTTTTGGGACATATACTGCAGCCGAGGCAACACAAAAACAGAACGGCTAACTCTCGAGGCGTGGTTCTCCGATGCCCACTCCATCAACAGGCATCTGGACCTCCCTGCAGCTTACAAAGTCCTACGTCATCACAATCGTAGAGCTCAGGACCAAACAACCACACCGGCCTTAAGAAAGCCGTACGGAGATAGCCCGACGCTGAGTTTACTCGGTGAGGAAGAAGAAGAACCGCCAGACCGACCTCCCGACTAAAGTCCAATCAGCTTCCCTCGACGGAGTGGTGACTCACAAAGCACACAAGCAAAACGCCTGTCAACCATCTCCCGAAAGGCCGAGGCCAGCGAGAGGAGAGAAAACTCGATCAGCATGAGGCCGGTCAACACAACATGCCACTTTAAATTAAATTTCTGATCGATTAAGGGCATTTTACGCTTTGACAATGAAGAGCCGACCCAGCTCTTTGAAACGTCAGCGCTTAAATAAACCTGTTCCGGAGAGCTTATCTTCATCTTCAAATACTCAACCCGGATTTCTAAATTTTGCCAATCTGAATATACTGCAGTTTTAATGCTGCCATTTTAAAGTGCACAACTGGTTGCAGTACTGACTGGCTTGAGTATGATCTTAAGTTGGTTAATACGCAGTATTGTATTGACTTTGTAGTCGGACGTCTGCCCAGCTACATTTGGAAATCACGCTGGGAAATTTGGTGGATTCTGTTTGTTCTCCGAAAGGATGTACGTATGATGCGCGCCTTATACTCGCTTTGTAAAAGGACATGTCATTCCTAAATGCTCAACTCCGGACAGTAAATTTACAGAGGGGCGTAACTTCCTACAAAATGAGTGTACGAAACGAAGGCCCCTCGGCGTCAAGGTCATTTGCCACTCCAGTGGGCGGTTCCAGGTGCACTGACCTCGAGATCTGACAGACTGC